CTCGTACAGCAGTTCCTGGTCCGATTGCTCCAGCTCTACGCGCTCACAGTCGACGAGGGACCCGTGGCCGACGTCCGAGGACCCCCGCCTGCTGCTATTGAAGCCGCGCCCGTCGCCGCCGAAGAAGGCGCACCCGTGGCGTCTCGTCCGCTCCGAGCAGACGCCGAGACGAAGACCGATGCGTATGAGATGGGCCTGGGGCGCCATCGCAACCTATCTCCGTTCGTCTGATCCGCCTGATGATGCGTTCTGATGTAATATTTTTTTAATATATGTAATGGCATTATCCGTTGCTCACTCAGTCTCTCTATTCTCTCGCAGCTAGACCTCTAGCGGGTAGAGCCACTGCAGCGGTCTCTGGAAGACTCGGCCTGTACCCGTCTTAATGAGACAGGATCGTTGCCGACGATCCGTCCTCTCCCCCGCCGGAAAGACTCAGCACGCGACACAAAGGCCAACGCGCTTTCGAAGGACTCGGATCCTGCAACAGGCATACATCGCCGACTTGTACGCCTCGCGACTCTGACGGATTCCTACTCTGCGCGGTTCCTAGATACTGGATATATTCCTGCGAAAACCGCCTCTGGAAGGCTCGAATAACCGATTGCTGGTGTTTCCAACGCCTCGGAAAAACTATCGAGTTCGCTGCTTCTCGCGAATCTGGTTTGAATTTCATTTCAGGCAGTGTCGGTTTCGCTCTATGTCCGTAGAGTAGATCCGCCGGCGACAAGGCGCTGATCTCATTCGGATCGCCTTGCACTGCCGTGAGAGGTCTGTGATTCACCAAGGATTCAATTTCTACCAGCACTGTTTCTAACTCCCTGAACCGCGGGGCGCCTCGACCTAGAATTTTCCTTAGCGGACGTTTCACTCTTTGAACCATGCGTTCCCACCATGCGCCATGAGTGGGCGCGTGGAGGGTGATGAATTCCCACGTAATTTCCGCATTGACGAGGTGCTGCTGAACGGCTGGACATTTCACATGATCGTAGATTATTTTCAATTCCCTAGTTGCCCTGACGAATGATAGGCCGTTGTCCGACATGATTCGCGTTACGCTGCTGAATCGGGCGAGAAATTTCTTCGGCGACAAGGGAAATTCATACGCCGTCATGTCTGGAACAAGCTCAAGATGGATGGCTCTGGAAGCCGGACATACGAAAAGCAGTATGTAGCTTTTCCGCAGGGTGCCATCCAATGTGTAGAATTTCATCTGTTCTCATGCCCAGCAAAGGAGAGTTTCGATTGGTCAAAAACTTGATCTCAAAATGTGATAAAATGTGATAAAGTGTATACGCGAACAGATGTGCATATATGTATATTTAAACCTCATGGAGGAACCACACCAAAACTTGGTAATAAACGCATTATTGAGAAATTCGGTATTGGAGGGACAGGCTCTGTCGCCGCTTCTGCGCGAAACAGCATGCATATCTTGCAGCCCTTCAGGACGCTTTCACTGCTCGCTGCGCTGAGAAAATATAGTATTTCTTCCGAAGAATACTGAGGGTCGCTGCGACACCTCCGACGTGATGACATCTTTTTTCGTGAAAAAATCGAATGAGGAGCCTGACCGCTGCATCCTCGCCCGGGAGTAGCCTTGGAAACTTCTCCTCGAAACTTAATTCCTCGGCGCGTTCTAGCCTGGAGCGACATCGCTAGACCCCGAGTTCATCCACGAACGGAGCTAGTTTGAGCAGCCTGCTATTCTTCGCGATGTCCTTACAAGCGGACGCTATCTCTTCCCCGAAGTAAGCTCTCTGAACATTCGCCAGTATTTTCTCGGTCGCCTGGAGCGACTACTGCGTGCTGACTGGATCAGCGAGAGCAATCTCCGTCGCTGGAGAGCGCCGATTCGCTGACCATCTAAGAATCCTTGCAATGCTATTAACCAATGTGCTCCAAGATGATAATCGGAAGCCAAGCGATAGGAACCCGGGATTTAGCTCGACTCCTGCGAGAAGAACCCTCGTTTTCCTCTATTTCTCAATCTCGTTCTCAAAGTGATTGATTGATTGATTGATTGATTTATGCTCCATTTCTAATAGAAACCCCGACTGCGGGGGCGCGATCGCTGGAGACTATGTGACGCTCCACTTCTGGGGTGTGGGTGGCTTCGCCTCCCTTCTCTCCCATCTCTCGAGAATCCGCTTAGTATCGTTAATGATTCGCCTTTCAGACTCCTCATGTAACCCAAGCCTTTTTTGAATCTCTTCGTCACCGCATGTCCTTTCTTGGCATGCCATCAGGACGTGCTCCAGAGTTTCCTCCTGACCACAAATCCTGCAACTCGGGTCAATCTCTTCGAATCTTGACCTGAATTTCCTGGTTCTGAGGAAGCCGGCTCTGGCTTGTGCGAGCAATACACTTCCTCTGCTATTGTCGTATATGTGGTCAATGGTACCGCATTGTTGTTTGTGTTTTCGATACCTTGCGAGGCTGGACTTTTTGTTCATGCCGTCTCTCCATTCTTGATGGACTAAATCTCGGTATCTTTTTTTCCACACTCTTTTTGAATGTGTTCAGGCAGGCTTCGCCTGCTTCCGATCGTTTAACCACTATGTTATCGCAGTCATATTTCAATGACAGCGTTTTCAGCCTCTCTACGGCTTTGATTTTGGCATTGTTGATGCTCATCATGGTTAGCATTTGTTTCGCCCATCTTTCGTCGGCCATCTCTTGTATGCGCTTGAAGTATGTGATTTTGCTCTTGGCTTCCCTCTCTTCGAAAGTTGACCAGCCTAGCTCTCCTTTCAAGAATTCATTGGCTAAGTTGCACGCTGGTTCCCCTAGCGCCCACCTTGCTGCTTGTCTCTGGGCTGATTCTATGTTTTTCCGTAGAGTATTCGACATGACGGTTACCGTGTTACAGTACGTTAGCGCTGGAACGCATGTGGCTTTCCACTGTATTTTCGTCGTTTCAAAGCGATTGAATTTCCACAGCACTTTAGCATGTAGTTGATATAGCGCCTTGCGCGTTTTCTCCTTCCAGATTTTTTCCTGGTCCTCGAGATAGTTTGCGTCCGTGCTTAGATGTATGCCCAAGTATTTGTAAGTTCTTTCCTTCGGGATTATCTTACCCTGAATGAATAAGTTCTTATCGGTTGTGTCGTCTACCCGATTGAATTCTAGAACCGCAGATTTGGCGGGATTGAATATGAGGCCTCTTTCCTCACCGAAGGTCGACGTGATTTGGAGAAGTTTCTCCATGTCTGACCATGTGTGTGCGATTAGCACTAGATCATCCGCGAATAGTAGTCCAGGGATTTTCCTGTTCTGTATTCTATTTGGTAGGAATATGTTTTTTGAGATCCGCACGTCATAGCCTTTTCTGGACTTGAGTAGTTGCTCTTCCAGCTCGGATGTGTAGAGGATAAATAGGGTCGGCGATAGGGCGCAGCCCTGCCTTAGACCTACTGGTGTGGCGACTCTGTCCGAGTCACCTTTCTCTGTTTTGAGAATAACTGTATTCTCTTTGTATAGTAGCTT